AAATAATATATATATATATATATATATATATATATATGTATATATATGTAGACTAATGCTTGAATTAAAATTTTATGATTTAAAAATTAATATCCATAACTTATTACATGAATTAAAGTTCGATTTCATTTATTTCATATATTTAGATATTAGACATTTCATTATTACATATATTTAGATACATGTGGAATATAAATTTCTAATATATACATAAAAAAGATATATATAGAATATGTAAATATAAAAAATTTAATTTAAGAAATATTTATTTTTATGACATATTGTGTTTTATATTAAATATTTGATTATATTTAATATATTTAGTATATATTTAGTCTAATAACTATAATCAAATAATTATAATATAATAATTATAATTTTAATATTTTATTATTATTAAAAATATATTTATTATTAAAAATTTGCTGAATGTACTATTTTTGATAAAATATAATTTATTTTAGATCATTACAATGTTATACTTTACATAGACGAAAACATATAAAATATTATATAAGAAAAAATAAAAAAAAATTGAGCAATTGTCAGTATATATTCCTAAATATTAATACTGAAAAGAAAAAACAAACAGAACATAAGGAACATAAATGTAATCAATATATATGTTAAAAATCACAATAATTAAATAATAACTGAAATGGAAGATAAAAACTTATTTATTATTTAGGATATTTAAATTCAAATTATATTTTATTATTATTATTATAGTAATCATAAATTTAAAAAATTATTCAAATATTTGTAATAAAATTTTAATAAAGTTATAGATAATAAATTAAATTAAATAATAAAAAAACAAAATTAAAATAAGAATATACTTAATTATAATACTTAGTTTTAAATTAAGTTTAAAAATTTTGGAAAAGGATTTTGTATTTTCAAATATTTTATCACATTAATAAAATATTTAAACGTTTATGAATTATGTATATAAAAGTTAATAATACATTCGTGATAATAAATAACAAATTTTTATCATAATAAGATGTAAATAAGATGTATTTATCATAATAAGATTTAAATTTTAAATAAGCAATATGTAATATATGTGTATAAAAATATTTCATTAATAATATTTCATAATTTTAATTAATAAATATTCTGGTTATACTTAAAATATGATTTTGTAAATAAAATATTTTATCATATTTAATAACATATATAAAAATATTACTATGAAAATATTTTTAAAAAATAAAAAAAGAATATAAAAAGTTTTTTTTTAATAAGTATGCAAAAAAGTAAATATTATATATAATGTTATAATACGTAATGTTTTTAAAATATTTCATATAATATATATGTATGTAAAAAAATTATATACAGCATAATTTTTTTTATTTTAAATAAAAAATACATGTGATAATATTTTCTCATATTTCTTATTTCTTGTTTTTCACATTCATTTTTTTCATTCGATCTAATTATAATTACAATATATATATACATATATGTATATATATTGTATTTATATTACAGTTAACAAATTATCTCAAATATAAATTATTGAATTATAAAAATTGTATTTAAATTGTATTATTTATAATATTATTACAAAAACCAATATAATGTTTAATACAAATTTAAATTAAAAAGTTTAAAAAGTTGTTCCAACGTGACACATTGACATATTTTGTAAAAAAAAATATAAAAATAATTTTACCAGACTATGTGCAAAGATTCAAATCATTGATAACAAATGATTAAATTATAATAAATATAGAAAATAATTATTCGAAATAGAGGAGTTTTAGATCCACCGATTTTTATAATTTTTAAATGTTATGATGGATAATATGGTGGTTGTTTGAAAACAATTTTAAGCAACTTTTTTTTTGTATATTATCATTACTTGGTTTTAGTTTTAAATATTTGAAAAAATCTTTACTATTTATAAAATTTTTTTAAATATAGCTTCATGACTACATAAACCTATCACTTATTTATTATTTCTATAAATATTTTATTATTTATTATTTCTATATATATGTTGCAGCGAATAGCTGCATTAAAATGTATAAAAAAAATGTATAAAGAATACTTTCTTATAAATTATAATGAAATCAAAATATCTCAAATCCAATGCCATATTATTATAAATCAATATAGATTTTTCAAATCCATGAAATACATAAAACAAAAATAAAATCTTGTAAAAATAAAATAAAATGACCAACATTACAATGATAGATAAAAAGTGATATTTATTGTAACTTTTTGAGATTTGAGATATATTAAATTCACCATAATTCCGTGTATATATATATATATATATATATATTTTGCCTGTAATCACCATGTGTTTATATTAATAAGAATAAGTGACGATTACATGTTTATGCGCATAGATATATACGAATATAAAAAAAATTCTATGAAATAATAACAATTTTTTTTTACAAATATCTTGAAAACTAGTGGTGATAATACGCAAAGCAAAAAGTTGTTCAAAATATTGATAATTAAAAAATCATCAAAATCGATGAGGATCTATAATCAATATCAATAAAAAAAAATTGAGTATTTAATACATAAAATTTTCAATGCACATATTCAATTTTCAACACTAAAACAAATTGCATACATTTCGAGTATATATTTCACAGTTTACAAAAATGCCTATTAGACGAACCTATCATGCCTATAATGCATTCACTCTATCAAAAATTCTTCAATTTTTTACAGTTTTATTATTAAATATGACATTAACACGATATTTTAATAATTATAGACTTATTATTAACTGGAAAAACTATTTTAAAGCAGAGAATAGAATAAGATATATGAAAGAGGTAGAATAGAACATAAGATTAATAAAGATAAAATAAAGATAAAAACTACTTAACGAAAAAGAAATATATTTAGATATAAATTTGTTAAATGATTTATGATTGAATGTCATATTATTAATTTGTAATATATATATATATATAAAATATTTTTTATTTTATATGATGTGAATAAATGATCATGTATATGATCATAATAAACTTATTATTTAGATTTAGTCAGATAAAGTACAATGAACAATAATTTTGTGAATGATAGTAAATTACATTTTTCGTTTTTAAATAATTAAAATATATATAATTATATGTTTTTTTCTAAAAATTTTTAAAAATTATGAACTTTAAAAATCCATAGAATATTTGTTTGTAATTAATATATATATTAATGAAGTTATATATATATATATCTATGTATACATAATTAAAAAACATAATAAAAATATTGCACAATAACGATTTTATTTAATGTTTATTTAGTATATGATTATTTAGTATATGATATTTTTTAAAACATATGAATATATAATATTATATTATAATGTGATGAAATTAACTTATACTGTCAAATTTAAGTACCAAATTATTAAAGATTGATAGTAGTAGTACTAAAAAAATACTTTGGTACAATTACAAATCTTAAAAGAAAGGATAAATTTATTTTTATTCTTTTTCTAAAATTGAAATAAGAATAATATATTAATTTGATAGTTTTTTAATTTTTTAAAAGTCAACATTTTTTTAATTATCAGTATCAAATGTGCTTTTATCCAATATTATTCAATATTATTATCCACTATTTTTTAAGTCATAATAATTAAATTTTAAAAATAGAATAATAAGTGTGAAAAAATAATAAACATTAATAATAAAGATTAAATTTGTGCATCATTATATATTATATTAAAATATTCATAAATTTATAGTTTGATAAATAGCGATTCAAGCGTGATTAAAAATGCTATTGTGACGATAATCCTATGTTTGTATACAATTTCTAATATTCGTAAACATTACAAAATATATCTCATTATTTTCGTTATAACAATTGTCGTTATTGATCAAATAATGACAAAATAGCGATTTTTATGTATTATTTATATATCTTTATAAATAGATTATTTAAATACTGTTTCTGAATCTATTAGCGGGAGAATTATTCTATATCCAACTAAAATTAAAAATTTTAAATTATACATTTACATATTATATCATTCTTTTTTTTTATTTATTATTTATCTTAATATTTTTATAATTTGATTATTAATTTCATAATTCATATGTACATAATTTATTATTATGTAGCATATATTATTATTACTAGTAATACTAATAACTAATTACTAATATTAAATAGAATTTTGTGAATATATTTTGTATCTTCATTATTTTCATTTTTAATTTCGCTTCTTAAATAAGATTAAAAATTATAAATTGCTAATTATACATGTATGTACATATAAAAATTATATCAGTGTTTAAAATAATAATAATAATACTATAATAATAATAATGATATATTATTACATCTATAAGTAAAAAGATTAACTTATAATTATAAATTATTTAAAATGAAAGATTTTTGTAAAAAAAATTAACATTTAAATGGCAGTTAAAAGAAATAATACTTTCTAATTTTTTAAAATTGTGCAATATTCTGTTATTATATAAATAAACTAATAATTATGAAATGTTATACATCTTGCAAAGTTTTTTTGTTATTTCTTTTTATAAGTGGTACAACTGCCCATAATGCAGTGCCTAGAATAAGTATGATACCGAAAGCTAAAAAAATGGGTTTATATGATCCTACTGTTTCAAATACAATACCACAAATAGGTGGACCAATTAGTTGAAGAACTCCATTAACAAATAAAGATATTCCATACGATGAACTAAGTTTTTCTGTACCAATCATATCTGCTAAAATTACTGTTGTGATTCCAATGTACATGCCTGATGATAATCCAAATAATGCACAAAAAAAAGAAAGCATTGCATAACTTGTTGCCATAGGTAATAATGCTAAAGCTATTCCACTGGTACCAAGACCACCAATAAAATAATAATACTTTGGCATAAAATCAATATCTGATAATGAAGCACCACTGATTCGTCCAACTAAATCAAGAGCAGAAACAATTGATAAAAGTAACGCAGAAGAATTTTTATCAAATCCTTGTGAAATGGCATAAGAAGGCAGTAAGATCATGAAATTGGTATTGCTGATAGCTGAGGTAGAATTTGAAATGAGAATTACTAAATAAATTGGATCCCTTAATACACTTAGGTCAAAGAATTGTCTTTTACCTGTAACTTCAACTTTGGATAATGATGTCCTAGATGTTGATTTTTCTGATAATTCTTCTGATTCTTTTGTTTTCAATCGTTCATGTATTTTCTTATCTTTATTCTCATTTGATGGTAGATTGTGTAATTCTGGATTTTCACTTTCCAATTTACAGAATGTTACATTCATTTCAGAAATATTACTTTCTCGTGAAGAATCCGCATTCTGATGATCTCCAGTACTTTTTTGTTTTTTATTTAACTGTAATTTATCTTCGTCAAAAATACTTTCTTTTTTCGTTTCATTTATTTTATTTTCAGTTACATCTTCATTTTTATCTTTCAAATCATTTATTTTAGGATTATTTATCTCATTTTCTGTTTGGAAGTTTTCTTTTTTCTTTGATGCTGTGTTGCTATATGTTGTTTCATTTTCAATTGTAGTGGATTCTATATAATCAACAGATATAAATTACATTTGTTACTTTGAGAAAATATTCGAAGATAAATTAATTTTTTAAACTCAGATATTGTCATATACAATAGTTATTAAATTTCTATTTGTGTTTTAATTAATTAGATACAGATATTATCTATATATTATTAAAATATTATAAAAATATCTACATTTATCTATTATAATATATATATTTTTAAATACCATTTTTTTTTATAATTTTTGGATTCTTTTAGATTAAAAAATATTCTTATATTGTATTAAATTACCTGTTGACTTTTGTTTATCAAGAACTGGTTCATCTATAGTTAATCCTTGATTATCAATTCCTCCTTCTATTGGTATTGCAATCATATGTTGTTCGACAGGATGGTACAATAAACCACAAACTAATGTATTCAATGTAAGTGCACCCATGACTAATACTGCACCTCTATAAATATAAAAAATATTTTTTTATATATACATATATTTTACATGTAAATATAAATGTTAATATAGTATATATTTAAATTTATATTATATATGATATGATATATAAATTATTATATCATTTAATTGTTATATGAATAACTTATATTTTTGGTCTTTAATAAATATGTATAAAAAATTGACTAATAATTATAGTATATAATTAACTATATAGTATGTTAATATATATTTTTCTGTTATTAATTAAATGATAATAATTATTAATGAAATGACAAAATATGTATTTGTAATATAATAAAATTAGAATATGATAATTTTTAACAATGATATTACCTATATCCAAAACAATCGAGAAGATACTGCAGAAACGGGGGTAATACGATAGTTCCAATAGCACTACCAGAAATGCATAAGCCATTTGCAACACCTCGCAATTTTTCAAAATACGAGGTAACAATGTATACCGTTGGTGGAAATGTTAATCCAGCTCCAATTCCAACCATCAAGCCATAACTATATTTATAAATTATAAAATTATAATATTAATATATTAATTATAATTAAATTATAATATATTAATTATAAAATTATAACATTATAAATAATTTATTGTAATAATACAAAATTTCTGAATAATAATATAGGAAATAAGAGATATGAAGAAAATAATTTTTTGTTTAATAAATATATGCTTTACTTTATTTTTTATGTTAATGAAAAATCTGTCTTATGCTAATCGAATAGAACACAATAATAATGAATTAATTAAACTTATAACTTATAAACAAAAATATGATCTTTCAATTGATAAAATCTGAATAATTATTGTTATTTTTTATTAAATGAAAAAGAAACCATAAATAAAATTATAAATTATATTTAAAAAAGATTTTATATTTAGAAAAATATTTGATTTTTTGATTTGGTTTTTTCTAATAAATCGTTAAATGATTTTTTCTAATATATTTTAATGGATTTTTTAATTTATAGAATGCATTTTATAAAATTTCTTTATTCGAGAGTTTTTAATTATTTCAATGTATAATATCAAAAAATTTATTGAGATACTTTATATATATAAAAATAATAATTTTTATTATTTATATTTTAAATTAATAGTTTTAAATATGTCAATAATCTTCAATCATATAAAATATTTTAAAATTTTATTATTAAAAGATAAAATGAGAGTGAATATCTTTTCGTTATATAAAAAATTTTTCTTTCATTCTCTTCTTATTCTTATATTTAATTGATTTTCAAACGTTTTATATATAAATTAAGATAAACAATTATTAATAAAAATATTAAAATTTTAAAAATAATTTTATCATACCTAACGTATAAATAAGAAACTGAATTAGCAAAATAACTCAGCATCATTCCGCAAGCCGCAAAAGCGCCACCAATAATAGTTACTGTTTTATAGGAATACTTGTTTGATAAAATGCTCGATAATGGACCTATAAAATATTATATTACAATATAATTTTATATTAATAATTGCAAATATATTATGAAAATACTATCAAGATTCAACTTTAATTTCACATCAATGTTCATATCAATATATAATTAAAAAATCACTTACCTAAAGAGTTGTATAAAAAATAGCATAAAGCTGGCATCCAGGAGGCAGCGGTGGAAGAAGCTTTGAAAACATGAAGAAATTCGACGAAAAGGACACCGAACGATTTTACGGTGCCTGGAATAAGGAAGTTCACAATAAGAGCTGAAGAAAGAACAACCCAACCCCATCCTCCGTCCGGCGGAACCAACTTTGTTTTTGCATTCTTTACTGTCATATTCGTGTGAAGAAAGTGGAGAAAAATACTCGATTAAGTTAATCTGCAATTAAACCAAGCATAATATTAAATAATTATAATTATAAGATTATATAATAGTTTTTAATAATTTTTAATAATAGCTTGTTAAAAATGAAGATAATATTTTATTACAAAAATAAAGAAATCCATATACATATATGTATATTTTCGTTTATGTATTAGGTTTAAACAAAATTTACTCTACTCTATTATATCGATGATAATTTTAACACTAAAAGAGAATACAGATTTTTACATTTTTTTGTTAAAATTTCGTTGAATTATTACCAAATTATTATCGATGAATATAAATAGGATTTTGATTGTACATAAATTTGAATTAATATTTTTATTTTTTTTTAAGATAATAATAATTTATGATATTCGTATTCAACTGAAATAACTCATTTATTCTTTAAATAATTATTAATATTATTTATCTATATATATATATTTATTTTCTTCTTGTATGAAACTGTTTCTATTCATTTCATGTTAACGACTCACAGGTAAACTAGGTAGTATTCCTTAACAAACAAAAAAAGAAAATCCTTTGAATTACGATTTAAGCTACTTAAGTTACTTAAGTTTCTCGATAATTTTTCGAAAATGGAATTTTGCAAATTTATGTTACAGTGTAAATATGTAAGTAATAAATATTTAAAAATTAATTATCCTTGACTGTATAGTATTTATAAGTATAGTATTTATTTTCTTCTTGAAATATTTCTATGAAACTGTTTCTAGTCATTTCATGTTAATGACTTACAGGTAAACCAGGTAGTATTCCTGGTCAAAAAAGAGAAAATCCTTTGAATTACGATTTAAGCTATGTCCCTCGGTAATTTTTCGAAAACATAAATGGAATTTTGCAAATTTATTTTACAGTATATAATAAATATTTTATTTTATTATTATTTTTTAAAAATTAATTGTCCTTGACTATATTGTTTATTCATTATAAAAAATACTACGTAAAAGATCCTGTGGATCCTGTTTTGTTCCATTTCCACGAACTCGGCTATTTAATTAAAATCATAATCTGCATCAATGATTTATGAATACAGATATAGATATTAATGTATCGTAGAAGATATAAAATATTAATATAATAATCTCTATTCCAGTATTAGTATTAAAGATTAAATTTTTATTTAATTTTTATTTCTATATTGTTCTTTTCGGTTGTAAAATTTAAAATTAAAATTAAATACATTTGTATAATAAATGTTAAAATGTGTTTCTCAAAAGCTCTTCTAATCTTTCGATTCGTCCTTCTCCATTATAAGAAAATTAAATTTTTAAATACACAAAACATTTTTGAATATCTTATATACAATCAAATTAGAAGTTGTAGCAAAGATAGTAACGGGCCAATTTTAATTACGGTTCATAATATTTCATTCTATAGAAAATTAAGTCAAAGGTTTCATGATTTTATATTGTAATAGCAAATTGACTAGACTTTCTAAAATAAGTATAATACACAAATACGATCATAAAATCTATAAGCAATTAAAATTTACAAGTTTTGAGGGTCGAAAAATATAATTTCGAAACGGAACACCATTTCAGGTACTTATCTTAATCTTTAATAACAGGTCCATCGTTACCTGTAGTCATAAATTTTCATATAAACTTCAATTGTAGTTAAATTTCGAAGCTGGCTTTATGAAAGAAAACGGTTTTTTTTTATTTATTTTATTCATTAAAATTTTTTTTATTTTTTTTTCGTAAATATTATTTATATATATATTTTTTTCACTATTTTTAATTTTATCGAATAAACATTTTTTTACAGAAAGATTTGTAGAATCGTAAATTTATAATGTTTTGAAAATCATTAGATGTAACAATATTTTTTGCTCATTAATCCTCCAATATATTATTTTCTCAAAATTTAACAATACCAACCAATAAAGAGAGAAAATTCAATGCTATAAAGAAATTCAATGTCAAAATTTTACAATTACAATGTTACTCTTAATATGAATTAATATTAAATAATTTATATTTGAGATATATGATTTTTATATTTTTATATTTCACATAATATTTTGCTATATAAATATATTTTATAAATATAAAAATAATTCATTTTACCCATCAATTATCTAAAAATCAATATCATAATAAAATAATATAAATTAACATTGAAATTGACATATTCAACAAATTGAAATCAACATAAAAATAAAATAAATGTTCTATGAATGTATTTGGAACAAGGCTGAAATGTAAAATAAATAGTGTAGTTATATTTTCTTCGAGAAATAAAACGCTTGTTTAATAACAATCAGAATATAAAATTAGAAAAATCGTAGAAAAATTACGTAATGTTATAATTACACGATGTATATATATATATATATATATATGGATATGAATTTTATATATGTATACTATAGATTATTGTTGAATGGAATAGTCACGTGAAGACACATCGCGCATGCGTACACGCATATAAGAAAGAAAAAGAGGTTTACAGAAACTTTTCTATAAATTTCTAAGTGTGCAATTATACTTGTACGTTGAAACGTATGTACGTTCTGCTAATTACATAAAACATTTTACGTAAAACGCGTATAAAATATTCGAACAAATCTTTTTTTTTTTTAAATAAAAAACTTATAGACTGAAAACATTTAAATTAATATATTAATTAATATATTAATGTTACCATATTTCACGCTGTTGACAAAACTCGTCGAACGAATAACGAAAATTGTTGCATTTCGATTCAAAATATTAGATCGACTTAAAAGATATTACTATAATATTAAAAAAGTACCGAATAGCAATTGTTCTCAATATTGACATTTCACTACTAAAGCAAGAACTGAAAACGTTACGAATATTCGTAAAAATATTATTATAACATCTGACGGAAGATATAAAGAAAGACGTAAATACTTTTACGCGAGTTATGTGATAACATGGATAATGTATTTTTACGTGACCAATGTGAAATATTTTAATATTAATCATTATTGAATAATGTCTTTCGATTCATTATCACTGTAATACGTACATAAGTTAAACTTGATATATAAATTTTCATATATAAGAATTTTAAAAAAATAATTTATTGTCAATAACTCAGCTGTAAAAATTGCATGCGTTATCAATTAGTTTTGATATTCAAATTTGCGAATTTTATAAAAAAAGAATGATATATTTTCATTATTATATGAAATTATTATTATTCGAAATGAATTATTTTCAAAATTTCAAATGTTAACCATTAACATCTTTCGCGGGTCAATGGCTGGTATCGGAATAATTAACGATGAAGACAATTACAATGTGTGTCTTTTCAGTGTTACTCTGGAATGATCTGTTGTTCGTGATGTTGCATACAAAATAAGCGTTACGCACCTACCTGCCAAGAATAAATGTCATTTTCATTAGAACACACGTTCAATGAAACTGTAAGATAAACGTGCTCTGATTATTTCTAACAATTATGTGAAAAAATGGATATTAGATCAGAAAAGAATCTTTAAATGTAAAATATTTTAAAACGTTTCTCTCTCTCTCTC